AAATGTGATTCCAGTGTTAAGTTTGGTTAACATTAATCCATTAACAAGGATTCAAATTAAATCCTTATATTTGGAACAATTCCTTTTTCTTTTCAGAATAGTGATACTGCCACAAGTTGGCCAGCTGACTTTCAGTACCTGGTGCCTGTATTTCATTGTAAACCTAGAACATGACTGGTTCAAATGCAAAATCTAAAGATCTTCCATTATTGTTTCCAACCATGATAAACATAGATTTCAGGAAACCTGACAATTTAATCAACTAAATTACATATAACTTTGTTCAGCTCAACCCTTTGGCCTCTAAGTCTAAAGTGTTTCTGTCTTTCTCTTATACTGATTAAAGTGTACCTATCCTCCAGTGTTTGCAGGCACAATTCAGGGAACAGTAGACTTCAAAGTCAATCTTCGTCAATATGGCCAATCTTAGTGCTGCCTTCCCCCCTTCCCCCACCTTCTTGTTCCACTGGCATTGTAAACAAAAGATTACAGGTTTTAAAAGGATAACTTTTCCTTCTTTACTCTAGAATATATTGCTAATACTTTCCAACTGTCACAATCATACTATCATACATTTCCTACTATCATGTTCATCCAACTCACTTGGATCAAATTTCCAACTTCTCTAGCTATTCTATAAAAAAGATTTTGGTCTCTCTAAGTTTTATTTTAAGCAGATGGTGATAAATGGTGTCCTGCGTGAAGCTGCATTTTGGGGTGGTCATAATTCATCCACCGAAGATTATGTTAGTAGGTCTCAAAGCCCTCTAGAACCAATAGCCGTCTGGATAGAGAGTGACCACTTCTCTTTGATCTTGCTGCTAATAATCTGTAAAATTATTGTGATACTAGGAAAGCTACACTAAAGGCTAAAAGATATTCTAAATTTATTTAATCCTTTTATGAGGTTATGATCTTCACTACTGTCCGCTAAAATGTTTAGCACTTTTCTACAACAATAATCAATTATTAATTACAAAATAACAAAATCCCTTGGTAAGGATGAAAGATAGCAAATTCCATCCCTCTCTGTCCCTCCCCCCACAACAGTCTTTTGGGACATTTTAAACTCAGGAGGGAGGACAGTCTAAATATTATGCCAAAAATATTAATTAAATGGAGAAATCAGCATAACGTCATTTTAAAAGGTAAAAAGAAGGAAAATAAAGGAAGGTAACTGGCATCAATTAATTCAGCCAGCCAAAGGATACAATACATTGCTATTCAAACACATGATTATGGCCCAAGACAGTATGGACTTACCTACATTGCCAAACTGCATTCCACCCACAGCTGGTTGTTTGGGAATTTTACTTAGATAATAGGCCTTTAAATGCCCATTCAAAGATCTTAACACAGCCTTTACCTGACTGACTGCCTGAGTTACTCTGAGTCTCTTTCTCACATTTCCCCTCTCTCCTGGACTAAGGAATATTTTCTGTAATAATCCAACTCCCTCCTATCCTGTAATGGTCTTGCTCCCTCCTCTGTGTTTCTCTGCAACGTGCCTCGAGATGTTTTTTAAAAAATCGATTAAGCCATTAACTCTAGCAATGAATAAGATTCAACAATGTCAAGTACTTCTGAAATGTTTGCTACATCTCCATTCCTTCTGCTGGCTCAGTTGCCTCTTATCTGACTGTTGCCTACTCTGAAGCTCTTCCTCCTGTCTCCCAAAGTCATTCCCACATGTCATTACAATTCCAGAGAAAGAGAGATCTGGAAGATATTGGTAGAAAGACAGGTTTGAGGAATGCTTAGGAAACTGTCTCTTTCTCAGGGAGACAGGATTAGGAATATATTTGGAGCCAAGGTAAGCAAGTATTGACTGGCTATGGATATAGTGTAGCATCACTTGAACCATTCATAAACCATTTTAAATCACTCAAAAAAGGTCCATTTGTTTCTTGGTTTAACGTTAACCAAATTACTCTGCTGTTCCACATCTTCCCCCAGTTCCACCTAGTTTATCTCAGAGGCATACTGAAATAAAGAAGAAAAGGAAAATAATTTCCAAATCAGAAAAGGGATTAGTAGTAGCAAACAAGGAAAACAGATCCTGTAGAGATTTCCCAGACTTAATGGGATTTCACTTAACATTAAAGAACAAAAAAGACAGTAAGAAAAAGACATTCACAGCCGGGATGGTATATAACATGCATGTCTCTACCCTTTTTGTCCACAGTACAGAAGAATGCACCCACTACATATAAGAGGTCTCTGATTTGGTGTCCCTCCAGATATATAAGGACTACAACTGCTTATGTTGAGTTACAGTCCCAAAATATCTGAGGATACCTTGCGAGAAATACTGTTCTATAGCACAGGAACAACCAAGAGAAGTGTAGTCTCCTGAAGGCTATCCACTGAATTCAGGAATGAGATCACGGCTGCATCTACACTGTTGCTTACCAAATTATCGGAATAGGAAAACATGTTCACTGTGCATGCATGCACTCACTGTTACCTACTTGTTCCAAATCTCACCTGGAAATTTTAATCAAACATGAATATTTACAGGCAGCTTTGCCTTCTTTTCCTTTTTTCACCAAGAGAGAAGACGTTTGGAGTATTGATCTGTCCAAGTTCCTGACAAGCCTCTCTCCCTCTTTCTACATGAATTAATTGGCTATCGCTACTGCCTGACATTCTGAGACTTCAACACATTCAGTTTATCACATTAAAGTTATGCCTGTGTCCAGAAACTAGCGGAAAAACCCCCCCAAACAAACAGAAGGGGGGAAATAAGCATACAGCAAGCAGCCACATCTTAAATAAGTTATTAACAAGGAAAAATGTGTTCCTATTAATAGCCTATCAGGATCTTGCTACAAGACAGAGATACAATTATCACACAGAATTCTGCTTAAAAATAAAAAGCAATAAAGAGTTTGGGGGAAGAATGGTACCAAATCCAAAAAGTAAGTGAAGACAGATAAAAAATGTACACACAAATTCCTAATATAAAATCTACTAATATTTAATGGGCTATTGCAACACCCAGGAGAAACAGATTTCAAGCAAATTCCCTTGGCCTCTAAAAGGATTGCATAGCAGAGTGATTATCACAGGAATCATCTGCTACAGTAAGACACATGCAAACATTTCTGTTTTAACCTTCAATATACTGCTAATATTTGAAAAAAGCTTGCTTTGCCATGAACACTATTTTATCTGCACCAAAAGTTGCAGATGCTTTAATTTCTACTTATTCAAATCTATGGAGAATTTCCTGTTTTCACTTATGTAAATAGGCCAAATTGCAAAATTTGTTTCAGGGATGCACGTGAATGTATGTCTGTATAATGCAATTTTTAAAATGTACTTCTAATTAAAACTGAAATAAAACTTCGTTTTGCTCTATCCCTCTTGACCCTCTTCACATTTTGGAAAGTGGTCACCATCCAAAGATCAAGTGCAGCGCTCGTCTGAAAAGAGTTGCAGTGAAGTTGTCTAAGACCCTCAGTTAAACAGAGACTTTGGAAGGCCTTAAAAAGGTCACAGTCTATGATGCAGCATCTTTACTCAGACATGTGTTGCCTTATTTTACAGCTATTCAAAGCCATTAAATGACAGATTTGTTAACATCCCTGGCCCTTCAGTTAGTATATACAGCCATCCTAGGTTTTCTTTTAATGCATCAGAACTAAATCTCTTCTTAGACTAAGTGTTAAAGGTGGTCACCTTCAAGTTCAGTCTAATCCTGGTGGCTTCATGGACACTTCAATACAGTTTTCTTGGTAAGGGTAGAGAAGTAGTTTGACCAGCCTTCATCTAGGGTTATTTTGTGTGTGTGTGTATAAGAGTGAATTCACCACCTGGACTGAGCAGGACGTTTTCCCTCCTGGGATCCAGAGTTTAGGTCTTACCTGAGAAGAAGGATTAAAAAACCGCACCCTCTCTAATTTCATAAGAGGGAAGTAAAAGCAAGCGTGTGTGTGGGTATGTCAAGAAAGGAGTCAAGCCAGGAAGATAGCAGAGATGCATGAAAAAGAAACCTTCAACCCAAAGACAAGTACCTCCACAGCAGTTTTCAGACAGCAAGAGAAAACTGCAATTCTTTGAGCTGCGGGACTGGCTGAGAGGCAGAGCTGAGAGATCAGGGATGAAAAGAGCCCGACCAGAGTCTGAAAACCCTTCTGTTATTCTTTTCTATTAGAGTCTGCAAACCAAACCAAGCCGGCTGCCTGTAGCAGCCAGATGCAGAGCTTTACAAAACAGAGGATTGTGAGCACTGGGGAGAGAGAAAAGCCCATTCACAAATCTATAGAAAAGTGAAAAGAGTTTTCACATGCAGATAGCCTGAGACTGCCTACAAGAGCTGAAGACCTAAGGGAAAAGGAAAGATTTAAAGAGCTAAGAAATAAGTTAAGAAAACATAGTGCTGCAAACATAAGAATAGGAACATAGAAATAGAACACAGAAATATACATTTATAGATGAAATAAGAATAGAAATTGTTGTAAACTTATAGTAATAGGAAGATAGTAGAATAAGACAGGAAAATAGAAGCATAGAATTTGCATTAAGTTTAGAAGTAAGGAATAGGAGTTTAATTTGGTACAATAAAATAGTGTTGTATGGAAAAAACAAATACTGTACAGTCTTTGTGTCTGGGTTCTGTACCAGATTAAGAAAAACCCTAACATTTCATCTTCCCAGATTATCCAATATCCCTCGATTTCCTAAATAGTCCCCAATTTGAGTACTATCTACAACTGACAAGGTTTCGTTTCCAAGCCCTGACAAGCTTAGCCAGGTGAGACATACCAAGGGAGATAGTTCTTTTAACCAAAAATGTCATGGGATAAACCTATCTTTATGGGTGAAAACGATGAGCTCTGGAATGTGTGTGGTTAACCGTAAATCAAACGATACCTGCATGCACAAAAAGACTAACTATGTTAAGACAATGTTAAACACTGAGACCCAAAACCTCTCTGGTATTGTAACCATTTTAACCAAGCGACACTGGAATGCACAGACACATGTCTTCTTACCTGTAATCTCATTCTCTTCAAGGTTGATTATTTCAAGAGCCTGCAAAGAAGTGAGCTGGTCAGGAAAACTGTGAAATTTGTTCCTGGAAAGATTGATCATTTTCAGATGTAACAGGGTTCGGACCTCTTCTGGCAGGTGATGAATATAATTCCCTTCCAGATTAAGTTCTGCAATTGGACAAGATGAGCAGTCAACAAAAATGCAAATTGATTCTTATAATTATCCACCTAAAGTTTTTTGACTTCAGGCAGTATTCCTGTTATTAATTATAACAGAAGAAAGAAAATAAAGAAAGATAAGTATCTACAAATGTTTTTGATTCTCTTTATCTAGTTTTAGGATTTGTGTGGACAGCACATCACATTTTAGGTCTTATTTCTGCAGAAATATTGAAAATTCAAAAGGGTTCACAACTTTTAAGCACCATTGTAGAAGCATTGATCTAAGGATGCTTAGAAGGACTGGCTATTCTCAAAACTTCTTGTAATAAAGTCTTGGAATTTTGATAGATGACATGTTCTCTTTTAATATTCTCTCTAATCAGAAATCCATAGAAATCGTTGTACAGGTAGTCCTCGGTTAATGACCACTCATTCAGTGACCATTCAAAGTTATGACAGCACTGAACAAGTGGTAGTTATGACCAGTCCTCAAAGTTCCAGCTGTCCCAGCACCCCCACGGTCACAAGATCGCAATCTGGGTGCTTGGCAACCGGCTCACACTTTTGATGGTGGCAGCTTCCCGTGGTCATGTGATCGCGATTTGCAATCTTCCTCACTGGCTTCCCACAAGCAAAGTCAATGGGTAAGCCAGCAGGGAAGGTCACAAGTTGCTTGGGTAAGTCTCCCCCACCCGTGCACCCTCCCCGAGCCTCGCTGTGCTCGCACTGCGCCTCCCTGGCCACTCGCACACCCTCCCTGGCCACTCATGCACCCCGGTGTACCCTCCCCACCTGGCAGCAGCCACTCCAAGCCCTGCTGCACTGTGCCTCCCCCACTACTCATGCACCTCATGCACTCTCTCTCACCTGGTAGCAGCCACCCAAGCCCTCTGCATTTGCACTGCACCATCCCCACCATTCGTGCACCCTCATGCACCTTCTCCCACCTGGCAGCAGCCACCCAAGCCCCATCAGGCTCACACTGCACACCCCAGGCCACCCACGACCCCCTCACTCCTATTCCCACCTGGCAACAGCCACTTACTGTCAGGATTTTCTTTCTCATGGGAAAGGATTCATCCCGTTATCTTTATAACAATAACAAATAATATTTTGACTACAGAGAGCAGAGAAAGGAAGTAAGGCAAGCCATCTGGAATGTACTCTTCTAAACCACTGTCTGTCAAGCTTTTCAGTAGTGCAATTAGTGTAGAAGATTAATGGGAACGTCTTCATATCTGCATATTTGGGAAGTTGTAGATTTTTAGATAACAGATAGCTTCTGTCTTTTAGGAGCAACCATCAACAGTAAAGGAACAAGCAGTCATGAAATACACTGCAGATTAGCACTCAGTAGAGCAGTCCTGAAGGCCTTGGAAAAGATATTCAGATGCTGTGATGTGTCAATATCTACAAAGATCAGAACAGTGCAAGAAATGGTATTCCCTGGGACACTCTACAGAAGCTAAAGTTGGACCTTGAAGAAGCAGGATAGGAACAGTATTGACGCTTTTGAACTTTGGTGTCAGGAAAGACTCCTGAGAATACCGCAGACAGCCAAGAAAACAAACTGATGGATCATCAAACAAATCAACCTGGAGTTCTCACTCGAGGCACAAATGACCAGGCTCAAATTATCCTACCTCGGACACATTATGCAAAGACTCAGCTCTCTGGAGAAGGCTCTAATGCTAGGAAAGGTGAAAGGAAAGAAAAGAAGAGGACAAGTAGCAGCATAGTGGATGGACTTAGTTACAGTTGTGATGGGTGCACTTTTGGAAGAGCTGAATGATCAAGTTAGGGACAGATCATCATGGAGGAAATAATCACTAAGAGTTGATACCAACTTCATGGCACATAATCAAAATTCAACCTAGTAGAATTGCAATGTTGTTTTTGTTGTTATGGTCCTTCAAGGAAACTGACTCTTGGTGGCTATGGGAACAAGTCTGTGTAATTTTCAACATTTTTCCAAAGTGGCTTGCCAGTATCTAGGGCTCAGGGAAAATGATTGGCCCAATGTCCTAAGGCATTATTATTATTCTAAGGCAGGATAAGAACCCATGATCTCCCATCTTCCAGTCCAGTACCTTTAATCACCACACCAAACTGGTTCTCAGAACTGCAGGTACTAACATTTTACTGTGAGGATACCATAACCTCTTTGAAGGGCAAGAGATAAAACTGTTGATTTAGATTCAGGCACATACAATGTTCTTTATAAAAAGAGAAGTTCAAAAATACTCTACTTTTCTCAGCATTAAAAGTGATATGCATAGTCATAAAAATATAACTTAGAAAAAAAATAAATAGGAAGAACAATATCAAAAGACTGTAATACAATAAAGCTGAACAGCCACAGCGATTGTTTATTAGTAGTTCCAAGCTCTGACTTGAACTGCATGTTCATTTTCAACAAGAATAATTTTTTAAAGAAAAATCTCTCCACCTCTTCTGTCCCCTCCGGAGTGCTCTCTAGATTCAGCACCTGCAGCAGTTTAATTTACCGCCTGGAATGAACAATACACTTGAAGAGTTACAATAAGGTAGGATTATACAGGAAAAAAATGTTACGATCATCGAAGGAAGCCTGAAATGCTGACATTTTTATATTCACAAAACATGCGTTCCAAAAACACTAGGATGTGCACCCATATAACGACCAAAGTCACTTGTATCTATCTAAAAGGGATCACAGCTAACCTTCTCCAGCGGTATAGATGGGGGTTGTGAGGAAAATGCGCACTAAAAGCGTTGTTTCTGGAGATAGAAACAACAAGGTATGCTTTATTGGGAAATACTTACAGGGAGTCAGTGGGCTCCCTGCCGGCAGGCTGCAGGAGAGAGCTCCAAGCAAGCCCTACTCCCTACATTATATACTTTGGCTACAACATTGAAACCAATAGATAACAGAAAGATAAGGGGGTAATGTAATCACCCAGTGTCATGACCTCTGGAATGCCTTGATAAACTATTCGATTGACTTTACTGTTACTTTTCACACTTGTAGTATCCTTCCTGATGGTATCAACATGTACCATAAACACTGGTGTTTATTTGCATTCCGTTGTCTCCACTCCAGGGTGTTAGATTAAGCATCTACACTGCTTCTATCAAAAGCAATAATACATTTCTATATACTTCTACTTGTACATACTTACTGTAATGCAGAATGCTCTACACCACCACATGGACCAGGGATTTGACATTATCTTCTAATAGAAAGGCTTATTTGGGCAAACCAAGTTCATCTCTTTTTAAATTCTGCATCTGCCATTTCAGACACTATTCCACACTTTATGTATTGCAACAGGAGGGACAGAAATTATGAGTGGCTGTCCTTAGGCGAAATTAGGCTTCGTTTTTCTTAAATTTCACTCCCACATCGTTCCCTGTCCCCATTCAAGATAGATGGCATTAGCCTCTGCTCTAAAAGCTGCTTGGGAGATGAAGTCGGTGTAGCGCATGGCAATGACTTTGTGCCAGGGGGTGGGACCCAGACTTATGCCCTGAGTTCCATGCATAGACTTAAATGTGATCCCAACAGCCATATCGAAAATCACTGTTCCGAAAATTACTCCTGACTTGTAATTTTACCAAAGTGGAACAGAAGAGTAATTGTATTCTGTTAAATGTATCACTGTACATGAAATGAAATGCACTTTAGACTTTGTGCTCTCTCCTTTTCAGAGTTTAGTCCTCGGTTTGCTCAAACCTATATGCTGGTTTCAGCCTAGTTCAGACACAGGGGTCTCTGCACATCCACCACACATAAAAAATGGGTGGAGCTTCTAGCACATCATCACGGGCACCATCTTGACTTTTTTTTTTACCACTCCCTGCAGACCCCTAAGTAAATTTTGTTCAATTCTTCTGCCATTTTTTATGTTGCCTGGTGTCCCTGGATTATTAAGCCCATCTGTTACTTTTGTCTACATCTACCAATTTTCCAGTTTCTAAATTCTACTATTACATACAGAGCCTTGTTTTTCCTTTGGATGCTTTTTGTCAAAAATAGAAACCAAGACTGAGAAAAGAAACAGGAACTGTTCCATCTCTCCAGCAGCTTCAGAATCCCCCAAGATCTGAAAGGAAAGTCCAGGAATTACTGAAGCAGAGGTAAATGTTTTTCAGAAAATGGTGATTTCTTGAAAAGATAAGTAAAAGGTTTTTTAGTTAGAAATATTGCATAAGATTTTTAAAAAATTTATCTCGTGTGTTTAAAGTTGAATATTTTTGTCTCTGGTATTTAAGTCCTCAATACAAATTCAATAATTATGTGTATGAATCTGGCACTTCTTCACAGTAGAGATGTCTTTAAATTAGAGCAGACCTGCATCATCTTATATTTTCCTTTATATTTTTCTAAGAAAGGTTCTTTTAAGTAGTTCTCTGGGATTTGAACTACTCTGGTCTTTATATCCTTTGCTATTAAGTGGTTTCTTGTAACTATTTAAAACCAAGAAGGGATTTTCACATTCTTGCATTTCCTTTTTTTTTTAAATAAAGCTTGATTTTATGTATCTCTTGGGAGATTAGCCTATCTTCTAAAAAGATGGGGAAGAGAAGGGCTGATTTCCCTCACCACGTGTCTTAACGCTACAGGGTCAGGATATGCTCCGATATCATTTACTTCCATTTTTTAACCTTTTAATTTACCAGACATAGGGGTGTGGGAGTCCTATTTCTCTCACATGCCAGGTTCAGAGGAAGGCACTAGAAGTACTACCTAGAAGATAGGCGTTTGCAGCAAGAGCTAGCAAGGCACATACCAGGGCAGAAAGTAGATCTCCTGTGAGAAGAAGGTTGATACTTTCAACCTTTTACTCTACAGGTACAGTCTTGCTGCTACAGTTCATTTTTTGATTCAGGATGCTTGTTGGTATGCAGGTTATTGACAAAGGACAGCATTTTTTTTATTATTAAATTTGTACACCACCCATCTCCCCCCAATGGCTGACTCTGGGCGGCATGGATGACTTTGGCGCATTTTGGGTGACAAATCA